CCAAAGAGGCGACTGGGACTTATGTGGTGTCGGGCTGACCAGGTGCCGACCTGCCTGTGGGGTGCCGAGCTGACCAGGTGCCGAGCTACCTGTGAGGTGTCGGGCTGACCAAGTGTCGAGCTGCTTGTGAGGTGCCGAGCTGACCAGGTGCCAAGCTGCCTGTAAGGCGCCGAGCTGACTAGGTGCCGAGCTACTTGTGAGGTGCCGAGCTGCCTATGAGGTGTCGAGCTGCCTGTAAGGAACCGAGCTGCCTGTAAGGCACCGAGCTGACTAGGTGCCGAGCTACCTGTGAGGTGTCGGGCTAACCGGGTGCCGAGCTACTTGTGAGGTGCCTTAGAGCTATGATTGCACTGTGTCAGCCTCGTAATGTCGGTCACCTACTCCTACATGAAGCTACTAGGAGCTCGATCTTCAGGGGCAACACTACTAACTTTAGGTCGCCAGCTCACATGAGAGCCTTGGAAGGCTCGACCAACAAGGGCGCCCGTGCAGTCTGTTGGCCGCCAACTCCTGCGGAAGCCACGAAGAGCTCATCTTTGTAGGGGGGACCTCACGAAGAGGACTGACAAGGTTTTATCTGAATTTAAAGTAAAGTTGGTAGATCTACTTAGCCTGTTATCTCCCTGCATAGTCTTTGAGTTCATACAAAATGGAAATTATAAAGCGAGAGCTTCAGTTTCTAAAAAGTGAGGACTTAGCTTTTTATAGGATGAGAACTTAGCCTTTGTAGGATGAGAACTTAGCTTTTGTAGGATGAAAACTTAGCTTTTTGTCGCGTGTTCCCACAGACGGTGCCAATTGATGCAACCGTTTCTGGTCACGTACTATTTTTTTTTCGTGATGTATCAATTTTTGGCTAAGTACTTCGTCATTTGACCTGCTCCCAGGTGGCCTGTGACTCAGAGGATGATGGAGCTCCCTGGTGGCGAACTACTTGGTGGTGAGCTACTTGGTGGCGAACTCCCTGGTGGTGAGCTACATGGTGACGAACTCCCTGGTGGTGAGCTACCTGGTGACGAGCTCCCTGGTGGTGAGCTACTTGGTGACGAGCTCCCTGGTGGTGAGCTACTTGGTGACAAGCTCCCTGGTGACCAGCTCCCTGGTGGTGAGATACTTGGTGACGAGCTCCCTGGTGGTGAGCTACTTGGTGACGAGCTCCCTGGCGGTGAGCTACCTGGTGACGAGCTCCCTGGTGGTGAGCTACTTGGTGACGAGTTCTCTGGTGGTAAGCTACTTGGATAAGCTGCTAGGTGCGCTGCCTTGTTGGTGGGCCTCCTAGTGTAGTGCAACCCGACTGCCCTCTGCATGAGATGATCTGCTCCTCCTTGTAGTTGACAGGAGCCGATGAACCTGCGAAAATTGAATCAGAGGACCCGGGGTTGTTTACCCGGCGGGGCCACTCCGATGGCTAAGTTAGCACTCTGATAGTAGAGAGCTTGGAGATAATATTAGAGAAATGAGAGAGCTAGAGAGCAGGGGTTACCTCCATTTTTCATCCCTCTCTCCCCTCTGGGGGTAGGGGCTCTTATATAGCGGTGTCCTAACAGATCTGGTGTAACCACCTCTGACTCTCTACCACAGTCGTTACTTGCCAGGGCTGAGCTGGTGGGTGCAGGTAACCGTTGCAGGGTACGGCCCTGTCAGACATGAGGCATTGTCAGAGTTGGCAGGCACGACGCTGCCTGGCTAGAGACATGGGTGCAGTTTCCAGATCTGGCAGGTACGATTGTCAGGTAGGAAATCTTCTTGCGATATGCCGAGCTGCCCCTAAGTGGTGAGCTACCTATGCCGAGCTGCCTGTAAGTGCTGAGCTGCCCCTAAGTGGCGAGCTACCTATGCCGAGCTGCCCCTAAGTGAAGAGCTTCCTAGTTGTCAAGAGGCTGCACTTAGTTTGCATGAGGTGCCAAGTGTCATAATTTCACTGGAGGGCCAAATCCGCCCTCATCACCTACCAACCAAAATAGTTTGGTAATGTATTTGCCACTCAGGATTGACATCGAGGGCTGCAACACAAGCCTTAAAGAGAGTTGAGAAAGTGAAAAATACAGGGCCTGTACCTCCCCTTCTCATGCACTTGTAGAGCAAATATTGACTCAATGAAGGGACTGTAGAGAAAAAAGGATATGGGGGATAAGGGTCCATGGATAAATAAAATTTAGTAAAGCATCCAGATGAGCTTGGCCAAGTGAGAATTGAGAATTCATATGGAATAGTTTTTTATAAAACTTTGTTAATTTATAATACATTTCCTTATTTTTCTTTAGCAATATAAAGGAATGCCTCCTAACCCAATTAACAAAATATTAATGAAATAACAAAATAGAAAAGAGAGAGAGAGAGGGGTGGATAGAGAGAGAGAGTCATATATCCACCGTTGAATGTGGATTATATCATATTTTCACCGTTGGACCTAAAAATCAGTCTTTAAATACAAGCACATGTAATTTGGACCGTTGGATTGACTAATGGATTCTATACACCAAAGTGAAAGTCTCACACTGAAACATCCATATGGTTGTTTCTTGAAACGCCCCTCCAAACACCATGAAATGAAAAAACGTTTATTGTGCTGGGTTGTAAAGGGGCGTTTCTTGAAACCCTTAACCAAACAACAAAATAAAAAATGTTTAATGTGAGTGTTTATTAGATAAACGTTTTTCCAATAAACACCCACCCAATAAACATAAACGGAACCAAACACATACTTAGTTTTGATATTGTTTGGCAAGAATGCATTTATGCATTGACAATGATAGAGCACAATTTTCAAGGTATGTTTACATCGAAAATGAGATGTTATTTTACATCGATAAAAAAATAAGTTTGTATTCAAAATGGGCTTTCGTTAAAAAAGGCATATTACTTTATTGGATTCATTTGCATCCATTACAACTAAAAGTTGTTTGGTAAGAAGATAAATTTGTAAATGCAAAACTAACCCTCCAGCTTTGTATTTGTATGAACCAAAATGTATTATGTATATTTGCATTTACACTCTATTTGCATTCTGCATTGTTTCCAAAGACAGCCTTATAGATCCTTAGGATATATTTGTTTGAAAGTAAAAAAGTAAAGGGAAAATTTTTCTATTATTCTTCTTCGATTCTTTTTTTTTTCAGGTTCGACTATGATATGGAAAAGATATGATATCCAAAAAATGTTTGACCAATCAACTTGTATCATAAATGTAGAAGCCAATTAGGAAATATTTACCAAAATTCATGGGTGAATTTTGATTGGTTAAAACTCTTCCATACCATGTCTTTCCCGCATCATAGATTTTCCCTTTCTTTTCTCTTCTCATCTTTTCTTTCAAACCAAAAGTAGCCTTGGAAAACTAAATTTAGAAATATGTCAGAGAGCCACTCCTTTGCCTTACCCGGCCCACTCCAACCATTATCTCTATGTGTAACAATGTTGAACATATGGGGTGTATCACAGATTATCATATTTCTAGAGTTTTAGTGGATGACAAAAGAGTAGTAGATATATTTAACCATTATGTAATTCTTTTAAAATTCAATTGTTCCTGTTATTTTCATGAATTATTAAACATCCTTCATCTCCTTCGCCATATATCTATATGATTTCCATGTGGCCGAGTAAGAAAAGTTTCCTCATAGAAACAAGTGGAATAGGCACATATAATATTGCATATAATTTTAATAAATTAATTATATAATTAATTGTTACAATACTTGGGCAAATAATAACTGCTTCTAAAAATTAATTTTCCATGCATGGTTTGGATTGATATGATCTCATTTTCCAAGCTAATTCGAAAACTTAATTAAACAATGGAGGCTACACGACATAGAACACAACTGGTGGTACATTTTACTTTTGGAAAAAGAAATTCTTTAGCCTTAATAGAGCCTTCTCAAATATTATTAATAGAAGACTTTTATCAAGCATCTAGAGGGCCATGGCGACTGCGAATCCAATCCAAGTCTTTTTACCAAAATGTCTAAAAATGCGAACTAGAGAGGACTAAGATAGCTAGGGTGAAAGGTACATGGATGACCATGTGTACCCGTTTGGTCTCGTAACCTCCTCAAGAGTCGATTAAGATTCAAAATGCTGCCGCATGCAAGACTTTATCAAAGGAATATTACCAGGATATTGTTGTTTAAAGATTTTCCAAACATATTGAAAACAACTAGGTAAAAGTGTTAGGGCTTGACCGTTATTCATTGTTAAAATTAAAATATGTTACATTAATATTAATTATTATATATAACTATACATTATATGGGTAGGTGGATAAGGCTCCAATTTGACTAATATCATTCTCCATTTTTGACTCTAGACGCTTCGTTTTGTTATTATATATGGAAAACGCTGTATGATAGACAGATCGACTAGATTGTACATTCAAAAGGTCTATACAATTAATTTACTCTTGGTTTTGCTGGGCAAATGACCTAAAACTCTATAAATTAATTAAATATATTATATATATATTATTTATATTTAATAACACTGCATGATGCAATGGAACACTTGTTTTCATTACAGAATTCTACAAATTAAGTAAACTACTTTGACATCATTAACGTTTACCCATCAAGTATTACAGATAAGTTTTGAAAACGGAGGGAATCTTTTGACAAATTAATTTCTAGTCATATATAGCTTCATCTCTTCGTTTCTTCTAGGGACCAAAATACCTACTACTGGGTCTTTATTCTTTTGTTTTTCTAATTATCAATGAAACTAGACAGTCAATCAACACAACATTGTGAATTCTAAGGCCCCGTTTGGTTTGCCATATTCCCATTCCAATGTTTGGTTGGGTGCAACCGGAATTTTCATTCCTATTTCTGCTGGAATAGCATTTCCTCATTTGTAGAATTGGCATGAGAGTAGGCTATTCCAAAGGATTCTGATCCGGAGTACTGCAATCCAAACAGACCCTAAGTTTATTTGACAATTGCGTGAAACTGCTTATAAATAGATTTATGTGTTTGCCCACTCGAGCATCAATATCAATGATCAAACCTAGCTATTTCTTTATGAAACATACATATGGATTCTCTTCTGCAATCCCCAACAAATATTGGTGCCCTCCTTGCTGTACTAGTGTTTATCTACTACCTGTCATCATTAATTTCTAAGAATATTGAAGTTAAAAAGAGAAAGATGGCACCGGAAGCGGCTGGTGCATGGCCTGTTATTGGGCACCTGCCGCTGTTAGGAGGGCCTGAGCTGCCGCACATAACGTTGGGCGCCATGGCCGACAAGTATGGACCGGCCTTCACCATTCGGTTGGGAGTGCGTCGTGCCTTGGTGGTGAGTGATTGGGAAGTAGCAAAGGAGTGCTTCACCATCAACGACAGGGCTTTGGCCACTCGTCCCAGTGGAGTGGCCATGAAGCACATGGGTTACAACTATGCCATGTTTGCCTTTGCCCCTTACGGCCCTTACTGGCGCGAGGTGCGCAAGATTGCTACGCTTGAGCTTCTTTCAAACCGCCGCCTCGAGATGCTCAAGCACGTCCGAGTCTCAGAGGTAAACATGTCTGTAAGAGAGTTATACGGGTTGTGGTTGAAGAATAAGAATGCTACAGGCGCAGACTCGGTGAAGGTGGAGATGAAGCGTTGGTTTGGAGACTTGACACTCAATAATGTGCTTAGGATGGTCGCCGGAAAGCGGTACTTTGGTGCTACCGCTGCTTGTGGCAGTGCAGAGGCAGTGCGATGCCAAACCGTTATGAGGAGTTTCTTTCGCTTGGTGGGGCAATTTGTGATTGCGGATGCAATCCCCTTTCTGGGGTGGTTGGACATGCAGGGCCATGAGAAGGCAATGAAGAGGACTGCCAAAGAGCTGGACTCTATCCTAGAGGGATGGATGGAGGAGCACAGAAAGATGAGACTCTCTAACGATGAGGCGAATGGCGAGCAAGATTTCATGGACGTGATGCTGTCCATCCTCAAGGATTCGAAGCTCTCTGGTTACGATGCCGATACCATCAATAAGGCTACTTGCATGGTACGTACGTATTAGTAATTTAGTATTACTCAATAATTAAGCACGCTAGCTGGTACTAATTAATTAATATTACTACTGGAAAGGGGAAAGTAGGAAACCCATAATATTAATACCAGACTTACCAGCAGTTGATGGGTTTTTGCAGAATCTTATTTTGGGTGGCAACGACACCATAAAAGTTTGTCTAACATGGGCTCTCTCGTTACTAGTCAACAATCAAGAGGTGTTGAAAAGGGTCCAAGATGAATTGGACAGACACGTTGGCAAGGACAGAAACGTGGAAGAATCCGATATGAAGAAGCTGGAATACTTGCAAGCCGTGGTGAAGGAAGCACTGCGGCTATACCCACCGGCTCCGCTATCTGGGCCACATGAAGCCATGGAAGAGTGCACTGTAGCTGGGTACCATGTGCCAGTAGGGACGCGTATACTGGTGAACCTTTCTAAGATTCAGAGAGACCCACGAGTGTGGTCAGACCCTCTTGAGTTTCGGCCAGAAAGGTTTCTTACAAGCCATGTGGGCGTGGATGTTTTGGGTCAGCATTTTGAGCTCATCCCTTTTGGTTCAGGTAGGCGAGCGTGCCCAGGGACCTCCTTGGGCCTCAAAGTTGTTCACCTGGCTCTGGCTCGTTTGCTTCATGCGTTTCATCTTCACACCCCATCCGGCGCCCCTGTGGATATGACTGAGAGCTTTGGCCTTACCAATCTCAAAGCAACCCCACTTGAAGTTCTTCTCCTCCCTCGCCTACCTTCTCATCTTTACCAATACTAGAATTAGTCAATTAGAGAGTTCGTTATATGTATGTTTCAATTTTTGCTATCTAATCTAGTTACTATATTCTTCTGTTGCTAATTAATATAATATAATTCTCTCTAGTCCTTGCATGACCATCGATCGAGAATGAACACACCCACCCAGACTACACCGTTTATACCGCCTTTGCTGAAACTTGCCCCCAAGTACAATAGAACTCGCATCTTCTGCTCCAGGGGTCCAGAAAACTTTCTGAACCCACCAATATTAGATTAATGGTTCCACGTACGTCTCATTTTCGTTACTTTTGAACTCAATTTCAAAACAAAGTAATTAAGTTTTGAATCATTTACTAAAACATAACCAATTTACTTAATCCACCTTACTCTAAAAGTGATAGCTTGATTGCTGATATGGAGTGAAAAATGGTTAAGAGCATGGACCTATATGGCATTTTATTTCAAAAATCCCCCTAGCACTTTATAGCCAACTTTTAAAATGAATCATCAATGTTTGGCCTTTACATCATATCACACAATGCTTGGTGTCAATAGAATTAAGAAGAGAGAACAGTGCATTTCAAGCTATTAGTTTGCAGTGACATGTCTTCTAGAGAATAAAATTGATTAAAAAGAATTATTACCCATATTTTATTTTACTAGCCACAGCTAGGGGCAAGAATGGTATTTTTTATGCATATTTATCTGTGGATTAAATTGGTCCCAACAGATGCTAAGGTCAAAACTGTTATTTTCCACTTCAATTTAGCGGATGATCGATTAAGTAATTAAATAGGCTGCAAACTATAGGGTGTTTTAATAAATAAAACACAAACTACATGGTAGGTTTTAATAAATCCATTGAACTATAGATGATGGCTATCTCCTAGTACGTGCTACGCGCTTAACTGATGCCTTGTACTAAATCAACGAAAATTCAACTTGACCAGTGTCCACCTCCCATCCCAACCAGATCATCTCTTCAATCCACTTTGGAACTTTCGAGAAGCTTGGATTGGACGAAGATAAGGATCGTGAGAGTCCTAGGAGATCCCGGATCTATATTCTGTATATTTCTTGTATAGTTAGGATTTAAAAGTTTTGTTTTTCTTTTTGAATTAGGAAGTCTTTTGGATTTTAGAAAGTTTTGGGGAGCAAGAACTCCATCATATATATCATAAGATAACAATGAAAAGTCAGGACCTTTGGCTTCCGAAATTTTTCATGGTATTAGAGCCACCTTCTGGCAGCCATTATAAGGTGGTAAAAGCTTATCGACACCGACATTGATGTATTCTGAGTCCCAGTTCCTGATTTCTTCGTTGTAGCAGTGGCAGGTCTGGACTCTTCTTCCTCCTCTGGACTGAAACAGAGCAGCGGCCGATCGGCGAGGCGGCAGTTACTTCACACCCCACTCTTCTTCTCGTAATCCCACGAGGGAAAAGTCTTCTAGGACTGTAGCTCATCCCCTTCCTTCGAACCCAACCCAGAAGACTGGCGGTGAATATTGTTCCTCTTCCTGTTCGAACGGAACAAGAGGTGGTATTGTTCATCTTCTCTGACCTCGCGACACCAGAACAACGGCAAAATCTGGCTCATTTGTCATTAGATCTTCAGCGATTCCTCACCGTCTTCTGCAGACCAGTGCTTATTCCCTATCATCCACATTTCCTTCTTAGCGGGAAAAACACGAATCCTTCGAAATCCGCTTTCATCATCTCTTTCCTGCGAACTGAACAGGAGCGGTGGCTGCCTCCTATCTCTATCTCTTTATTGCGTTCGTTGGACGAACAGATACAACCGTAGCAGACGTCATTAGAAGTCTTGCTCAACCGAGGAATCTCTGTAGCACCTCCCAGTCTAACAGATTTGATGCGCAGACATAGCAGCAACACCAGCACCTTTATCACAATCTCTTGAGTCACAACGGGTATTGTTGATCAGTCACCATGGCTGCCAACAACGACAGGGAATGGTGAGAGCTCGAGTAAGTCTGTTGGACCGTCTTCTCCTTTCTATTTGCATCCATCAGATAATCCTGGAATTATTATCAAGGGTGGACCCTCTGGCGGACATGGCCGAGGTACAGCAAAAGCTCATGCTGCTCAGTCATCAGCGGGGCATGAGGTGGCTGCTGACGGAGACAGGACCGGACCGAACGGGCTTAATGACGAGCAATGACAAACTCTTGTAAGCATGCTTAATGCTTACAAAACCAGGACTAATGAAAAACTCTCTAGTAAGAATTACTCCACTGAATGGATTGTTGACTCTGGGGCGTCACATCACACGACAGGGAATTAAATGTGCTCGTCGACACGTATGATGTTGCACCTTGTCCTGTTAGGTTACCCAATGATGCACACACTGAGGCCGTGAAAGAAGGCACTATTGAACTTGGAAATAGTTTTAAATTGCTGCACGTATTATATGTCCCAAAACTCAATTGTAATTTATTGTTAGTAGGTCGATTACTTCGTGACACAGATTATATTGTGATGTTTACTAATAAGTTGTGTGTAATACAGGACCGCATCTCGAGGACTCTAATTGGTGCGGGTGAACAGCTTGATGGGGTCTATGTCTTCAAGGGTGTGACGCCAGTTCATGCTTACAAGACAAATGGAATTGGGTCATGCGATTTGTAGCATCAGAAATTGGGACACCCTTCTTATCAAACAGTTAGCTTACTTCTTAATMTCAGTAATAGTAAGAACAAAACCTGTGATGTTTGTTTGAAGGCAAAGCAAACTAGAGATGTTTTTATTCAAAGCAGCACTAAAGTGACTGATTGTTTTGCATTAATTCATTGTGACTTATGGGGTGCTTATAGAGTACCTGCATCTTGTGGTGATGTATATTTTTTGACAATTGTTAATGATTATTCTCGAGCGGTTTGGATTTATTTACTGGCTGAAAAAAGTGAAGTTGGTCGAACACTCAAAAATTTATGTGCCATGATTGAACGGCAATTTAATAAGAAGGTTAAAATGGTGAGAAGTGATAATGGAACATATTTTACACCCTTGAAATCATATTTTCATGAGCAAGGAATTTTATTTCAAACTTCCTGTGTTGGAACACCCCAACAAAATGGTTGTGTGGAGAGAAAGCATCGTCATATTTTGAATGTGGCCAGAGCGCTCAGGTTTCAAGCACATCTTTCGATCAATTTCTGGGGTGAGTGTGTTTTGACCGCAGGGTACTTAATTAACCAATCAATTTCTGGGGTGAGATGCTATTTGGACAAAGTCCTTCTTATAAACATCTTAGAGTTTTCGGTTGCTTGTGTTTTTCGCATACTCGGGACCGTGACAAATTTTCCGCTAGGAGTAGGAAATGTGTCTTTATTGGATACCCTTTTGGGAAAAAGGGGTGGAAATTATACGACATTGAGTCTGGTGACTACTTCGTCTCATGAGACGTGGTGTTTAGTGAGACCGAATTTCCCTTTGCTACTCCGGAACATCAACCCTCAATAACCAGTCCTCCCGTAGCCAAAGAAAATGTTGGGTTGCCTTGGGCCACTCCTCCTGACATGGTATCTGAGTCACCTCATATAGAAGTCAGGGGGAGCGACACGATCGATGAAAAAGGACATCAGAACACAGGTAATGATGAGGAGGCAGGTCCTCTTGATGAGACAATGAGCCATATAGATTGCAGAAATAATGAAACTCCAGCTGCTCCTCAGCCCACCACGGAGTTATTAGGCTGCGGACATCAAGAAAAGCGGCCCCCCAACTATTTACAAGACTTTGTCACACACTCTCCTCGTTGTTTATACCCATCCGTTGTTTCTCCTGCATCATCTCAGTCCTCAGGTACTCCTTATCCCATAACTCATTATGTGACGTATGATAATTTTTCTATAAAACACAGACATTTCTTGGAAATTGTTACTGCAGGCCGAGAACCTACTCGTTTCTCTGAGGCAATGACTGATGCTCGATGGCGCGATGCTATACGCCAAGAGATACAAGCTTTGGAAGACAATGAGACATGGACCTTGGAAGACCTCCCACCTGAAAAAAAGGCAATCGGGTGTAAATGGGTCTACAAAATCAAGTACAACTCGGATGGATCCATTGAAAGATTTAATCCTGGGCAACACTTAAGTTGAAGGTCTTGTTTACAACGAGACCTTTGCCCCTATGGCTAAAATGGTCACAGTTCGAACCTTCTTAGTAGTTCTTGTGGCCCAACATTGGGAATTGCATCAGATGGATGTCCACAATGCTTTTCTGCACGGTGATCTCCATGAGGAAGTCTATATGAAACCTCCTCCAGGTTTTTTGGCCTCCGGGACTGGAAAGGTATGCAAACTCCGAAAATCTTTGTATGGTCTGCGGCAAGCCCCCCAGAACTGATTCTCTAAGTTAGGTGCTTCATTGAAAACTTTTGGGTTTGAACAGTCCTATTTCGATTATTCCTTATTTACATATCGCAAGAATGGGCTTGTCTTACACGTCCTGGTTTATGTTGATGACTTAATCGTTGGTGGGAATAACCCAGAGTTCATACACGAATTTAAACAGTATATGAACCGGTGTTTTCACATGAAGGACTTGGGTGTTCTTAAATATTTTTTGGGCATCGAAGTGACTCGCGGATCATCGGGGATATTTCTTTGCTAAAGAAAATATGCACTTGATATTATTACAGAAACTGGCTTATTGGGGTCCAAACCTGCTCAATTTCCTATTACTCAGAATCATAAACTTGCCCTTGCTGACGGAGCACTCCTGGATGACCCTGAACGATATCGACGTCTTGTGGACCATTTGATTTATTTAACCACTACACAGCCGGAGCTCAGTTATTGCATCCATGTCTTGGCTCAATTTATGCAGTGTCATCGTGTTGATCATTGGGATGCGGCATTACGTGTGGTTCGTTATCTGAAGGGACGTCCTGATCAAGGAATATTTTTGCACTCTGATAGTGATCTGCAATTGTATGCCTATTGTGATTCCGATTGGGTGAGTTGTCCTCTAACTCGTCGCTCTCTTACTGGGTACTTTGTCATGTTAGGACATTCCCCCATCTCCTGGAAGACTAAGAAATAACATACTGTCTCCCGGTCCTCTGTCGAGGCTGAATACCGGTCAATGGCTACTGCCAGTTGTGAGTTGAAGTGGCTGAAAGGTCTGTTGTCGTCTTTGGGTATATCTCATCCTCAACCTATACGCTTGTTTTGTGACAATCAAGCTGCTCTGCACATTGTTGCGAACCCTGTCTTCTATGAGCAAACCAAACATATTGAAGTTGATTGTCATTTCATTCGCAATGAGCTCCAAGATGACACCATTGTGCCTTCCTATGTGCGTACCGATGAACAAGTTGCCAACATTTTCACAAAGGCTCTCGAACAAAAATAGTTTGATTTTTTCCTTCCAAGCTGGGCATTCGCAATCCTCATGCACCACCTTGAAGGGGAGTGTTGGACGAAGACAAGAGTCGCGAGAATCCTAAGAGATCCCGAATCTGTATTCTGTATATTTCCTGTACAGTTAGGATTTAGAAGTTTTGTTTTTCTTTTTGGATTAGGAAGTCTTTTGGATTTTAGAAAGTTTTGGGAGCAAGAACTCCATCGAATTTGTATATATATATATATAGTAAGATAACAATGGAAAGTCAGGACCTTTGGGTTCCGAAATTTTTCAGGGGAATTTGATGCATGGGCAGCAGCTAGTGCACCAGCACTACTATTGTTGGCACTATGCTGCAGTAAGTACGTACGATCTTTCATTGTATCTGTCTTACAAAACTGTTATTTAAGTTGGTTTGGTTGGTTGCGGTGTGAATTTCATTTGCACCGATGTAAATGCATGAGAGTGTGAATAAGCTTAGTGTAAATTCTGGTTTGTGAGAAGTAAAATGGTGTGCTCCCACTTAATATGTAAATGCATGAGAGTGTGAATAAGCTTAGTGTAAATTCTGGTTTGGAAGGAGGCTGGAAGAAAGATGATGTGGTCTCCTCCACTTTGTATGAGAAAGAAAATTAAGGTAGGAGGAAGCTGCAGGTGCAAATTTTGCATATCAATTTTTTGAGATGTAAAATTTTACACTGTCAGAGAGTACAGATTTTGCATTAGGTAGGAGTGCAATGATAAGGATATAAACTCATGAACTGGGTGAAAAATTAAAACAAACAGATGGAGGCTTCGTCTCCGTTAATTTGATAGTAGTGCAACTTCAGTTACACTAGTATAAAAGGTACAGGAGTGCAAATTTGCTTTTGCTTTAAATATAATGTTTTACTTGGCTTTACCTCACTAACAAAACAAATTAAAACCAAAATCAGAATTTACTCTCAATTCATTTGCTTGCAGTATTCTCATGCGCTTCTGCACCAGTACAAAATTATTAATGAAGTTGCGCACTGCAAATGCAAACAAACCAAGCCTTATAGTCATTATTGTCAGACTAATTAATTCTTATTTGATCTCTACCTCCTCGTTCTGAAGTCTGAACTAAGCTAAGCTTATGAATTAATAAACACTCTACAGGCCTGCGTGCGTCGATCGGGTCAAAGAGGTGCAACGTACGTACGTATATATTGATTGCAGCTGATTGATCAATTGATTTATATTATTAATTATTCGATCTGTACCGTATAGTAATTAAGTTAGTATACGAAGACTACGTACCCTTGCAATAGAATTATAGCTACTTGTATGTGAATTGAAGAGATGCTGTAGCTAGCTGCTGGCATGGAGTTGTATAATATTAAAGTCTCAAAGTGATGATAATATAAGCAAAAGGGATTTTTAATTTACTCATCATCAAAATGCAAATTAAAGGCACAAAAGGATAGGAGTAGATCTCCGTTCATTTGAAATAAAACATTGCAACATCATATCCCTTATTTTTCCTGTTTAAATTAAGATAGAACAAATTGAAACAAGGTGGGAAATTGGGATCGATCTAATTTTATTACATAATTTTTTTTGGTAGACATGTAGTTTTAATTGGTGTAGAGAGAGAGAGAGAGAGAGACTGCAGAGGAGGATATAATTATATATCCTTAATTAGGATTGAGCCACCTCATTGAAAGTATTGAAAGTGGTTGTCGCAGATGGCGGCTTCTGGAACCTGCAAACTGCACAGAGAGTTGAGTGGAGGGATGGAATGCGATACTTGTCCTCCCCTCCCATCATCGGCATGGGGACGCCAACTTTGACGGGGCTGACGTAGTCCGGTCTGTAAGTCTTGCCCAATACACCCTCAACCATGTCTGTGAGGTTGGAGAACCTGAACTGAGTCTCCAAGTGAGCGAAGGCGTCGTCCTCTGGCAACTGGTAGTTGTGCACCCTGTTCTCTTCTGCTCCCACCGGTGTCACCTTCACGTCCATCTCCACCACCCCAGTTATCGTCACCCTCACGCTGTTGGTGTCATCAGTTCTCTCCACCACCACCTCTCTTTTCCCATCATTAGTCCGCCACTCGGCTTCTCCGTCAGTCGGTACTTCAACGGCGTTACCGTCCCAGTGGACACTGAGAACATCGACACCGTCATCCCAACGAGACACTCTCTTGGCAACAAGGTCAAGAGTGTGGGAATCGAACATGACGGAGAGGGTTTGCACCCAGGTGAAGTCGCGGGCCCTCCCTGCTGGTCGGCTTCCGATGAAGTGGGCGTTGATCTGAAATTCATCGTCTGACACGAGGGCGAAATCGCCTCCCTTGGCCCCGTGAAAGTAGAACATCACACCGTCACCGCCAACAAACCTGGGATCGTAGCAGACCGACCCATATCCATTACAGTTGGGTTTCCGAACTGCATGCCAAGAAAGAACAGACGTCGTATTCGTATAATAGATTCAACTTAATTTCAAGAGTACTGAATTAATAATGATCAATAATCTTCCAAACTAAATGCCCATTTATTTCAATTTTACGACTTTTCGATTGAAGCTAGCTAGCTAGCTAGCTAGTTTTTATGTTCTTTCTCTTCTCTGCAGTACGTTCCAATTAGGAACTAACTGGTGGGTACGTTCTAGCAAGTATGGAAACAGTAATTAATATATAGAAGTAGCTAGCTAATGAACCAAGCGATCCAGAAGGTCAAAGAGTTTGAGAGAGAGAGAGAGAGAGAGAGAGAGAGAGATTAATATATACTTACATTTGCAAGTGGTCTCGCATGTGCTGCTGCAGTCAATGAAGCATCCCTTGATCTTCTTGTTCTTCTTAGGCTTCCTCTGAGTGCACTGAACGGGGCACTGAAGGATCTTGAGATAGCAACGCCCTCTGGCCAGGCACAGAGCTCGTTCTTGCCCTGTCCCCTTCTTTGGCGTTAGCACAATGTAATGCGTCGAAGCAGCATCGAGGTTCTTCTTGGCGTTAGCTTTCCCATTTGCATTTCCGTTGCCTTGACCCTGAACGAAGGAGGCTCCCATAGAGATAAACACAACAAGGAAGAAGGTCACTAGAAAGCATGTCTTCCTTCTATCCATCTCTCTGTTCTGTTTGTGCCTTCTCCAGCTGTTGATCGATGTCAAATGTTGTAAAAGTAGAGCCCAGCAGATGGAAATTAAGGACAATGGCAAATTGGTAACTGTGGTGGTAGAAAGCCCAAGGATGGGTAGTCTTTATATGTGAGTAAATGTGTGTCTCTATCACAATTAATTCACACAGCTGGGAAGAAATCCTTGTAACTGAACTTTGCTTGACGTGCAATTCCCTTCTCCAGTTCTCCCCACAAACGATCTCTGGATCTGGAATAGTTTGTTCACAGCTTTCTCTTCTAGTAGTTTTATTTTATTTTATATATTTCTGGGTTTGGCCAAAAGTATGTGTGTGGACGACTTCCTTATGATATAGGAAATCTGAGACAGGATTGTCAGGACACAGCTGAGGTTGGGTATTGCAATTAATAGTGAATAATATGGGTTTGTCGGTAAAGTTGGCTTTATCAATCTGTTCCATTCTCACTCTCCGTCGTCTCTTTGACTCGTCTTAAATCAGAAGGAAAAGTTAAACATAAGTATATAAATTCGATTTTACTAGTTTAATACGAGCAACTTGTCCTAGAAATATATTAAATTATTTATGTAGCACTACACTAACTGCGTTGTGAAACACCTGCAATTAAGGAAACCAGCTCAACTTGCTTTAATAAACGAGAGGATAGTCACATGGAGGGCAATTGGATCTAGAGCTTGCTGGGTCTACGATATCCATGCATCGATGTTTAGCTACTGGCTTTCGTTCCCCTAACGCATCCTTCATGTGATGTAATTACTAATTCGAGGCCTTTGAATGACTTGCTTTTAATGAATTAGACTTCAAAGTCCAAACCCCCCATTATATTAGATTCTAATCTATAAAAAGATGACGCAGCTTATGGCTTAAGTTATTAGTTGTGTAATGATAATAATATATATAGAAGCAATTATTTATCGAGATCCGGAAGACTTAGAAAAAGCAGAATTTATAAGGTTGTGTTTGGAAATGATGCAAATAAAGTGTAAATTCCGGTTCAAGATAAATTTTCACTTTGGTTCACTTTTGCCTGTATTTGACAATATTACGTTTATGTATTGATAAATAACATATTTATATTGATAATCAGATGTAAAAATACATCAATAAAAAAAAAGTAAATTTACAATTAAATGGGCTTTTGATAAAAAAATAAAGCATATGCTTTATTGGAATTCATGTTTGCATTTATTACTGGTTTTACAATTTATATGAACCGTTTTATGCTCTACATATTTGCATTCACACTTATTTGCATTGTTTCTAAATACAACCTAAATCTTTGGTCAAAATGAGGAGGAACCACACGGTTGAGGCCAAGATACGTTATTTCTTGCTTCCCACAGCTCTGTACAGTGACTTTACAAGTTACCTTATCTAATGACTCTGTGGCTCTCTCTCTCTCTCTCTCTCCGTAGCCAATTGGTTAAATAAAATAATAATAATAATATAAAAGAGCATTTTGGTAAATTACTAATTTATGCAACTCTTAAAAACTTATAATATTCATTAGCGTTCCTTTTTAATTTCTTTTTTATTTTAAATGAAAGACTGAGGACTGAGGGAGTATGTAACTATGTATATGTATTCATATGAATGCATATATGCATATTTATATAATATCTACATATACCCATGTAAAGATATACTGCGTTTGAATTGGCCAAGGCATTCACCCTAACCCAACCCAAAATTTAGTTAGATTCACATTTTCCTTCAAACCAAAACCATAATTCGACCTCAACCCAACCCAAGTGGCTCCTCTGCAACCAGGAGAATTAAAAAACAACATACATAATATCAGGAAAATCTTAGCTGACTAAATTTGATAGCCTGGACTGACAACAGGACTCTTACTGTAAGACACGTTAGATACACAAATTCCATTTTATGGTGTCGGCAATGGACATTGCATATGCAGGGTGAACTAACCTATTGAGAGCCCAGGCTAACTTTCAAATGTGAATAGCCAAAGTTTTCTTTCAAGATTTTGATTTTTGAAAACCCACCAGAGTTACTGTTCATCATTCCATGATCCATTTGGAAAAGCCGTAGATTGGTCAACAGCCCTTCAAACTTCAACTTGACGGCTGAAGCAGCTTTTATTAATATATAATCTTGTTATACATGGTTGAAGTTTTTTTTTTTTTTTTGTGTGTGTGTTTTTTGTTATTGCTAGCAAAGTAAGCTATCCATAACGGTGCCTTTAGTTTTCTTATTCTTTTTATAATTGTATCTGGCTGCAGATAGCCTTTGCATATTAAATATGCGGTTAAGTAGTTACAATCAAACGGTAAAACTGCTAAACCATCAAGCTCCGATGCCACTACTCTAATAGCAGAAAGGACTAGGTGAACATAATAGCTGTTCAATCGGCTGTGCAACCAATGATAATGCTTTCGTCAGCAATAAAATACATGAGACCCACAATCATTTAAATTTTCACTGTGTGCTCCATGTAATTTATCAATAACGGGGGGCTTTATTTGGTTCCTGCCATCACCTTCAGTTAATCTGATTTCTCAAGTTGGGTGGTGCCGTTGACACTTGAGACCAAATAAGCCCCCCACAACGTCCCACAGCATGTCCCCGCCAGGACCATCTTCCGATGATAATCCATAAATGATTTTTGGCTTTTATATATTACAGGAGAATTATATTTTGGCAAGGTTTGGGGTTTGGACTTTGGACTATAATTTTCCTTAATGGTCCTACAATCTCAGCTCAAATCACCACTTTACCAAAACCTTACATTCTATCACGAAAATTTCACCTCTGGTTTCAGTGGGGTTTCGCATGATGCATTCGCCAAACTATTCTCGAATCCAACTACAACGGTTCTCTCTTTTGGCCCCATTATAGTTTCCATGTAATGATAGGAACCACATCCATGAATTTTCCCAAGTGAACCGTAACAATTATGAGTTATTTTCTGCTTCGTGCCACTGAGGATGGAGACAAATTTACAATGCGAAACAAAACTCTCCGCCAGAAATCCAAATACACATTTTCAAAAATAACGGCCTGATCTTAGTCTGGATTAGAAATACAAACTTCTGGAACTTTCAAACACTCTCTGTAGCATCTCTATGCGAGTCTTCTGTGCCCCTCGCTGCAGCCAACCTCTCTGCAGCTAATCTTTCTTCTAGTGCTCGAGCTCCCCTTTCTCTGTAATTTGGAAAACAAAAACAGGGTGGGTTAAAAGTTTTTATTCAAAAAAGATAACTTACATGTGAAGTTTAACTGATGGGGAACACAATAGTCAAGAAGATAGGGAAAACATGTATTGGAAAGCCACAACACCTTGTCTCTGTCATTGTTTGATGTATTGATCGTGATGGTTCAGAATTCAGATGGCGGGCTACCACTTAATGGGCCATAAGCCAAAAACCAGACAACAGATTCAAAAGCTATTATGACGATTATTCTCATTAGTCATGACCACTTGTGCATGTGAGGTGGGGTGGGTGGGCTGTATATGGACCTAACCCATGGCATTTTTGGTGTGAAATGGCCACTCTAAGAACCTTTTTTTTTTGGTAAACCCACTCTCATAACTCAAACCCATAGTTTCAAGCTTGCCAGTCCAAGACCTTACCATCACAAGAAAAAATGGCCCCTCCTTTGTTAAATGGTACACGGAGAAAATTTTTTCTTCAATCATCCAAGTAGTTTGAATTTTTAACTCATTGCCAGTGATTATAGTTTTTGGTCAATCAACTCAGTGACTCGCCTATTGAGATTCAGGACATTCACATTCCTATATATGTAGATCAAAAATCTAATCCGACATGTAATGTTATCTGTGAAGTGAGAAATGAAGTAATACCTTCTCCTTGATGCCTCAATGGGGTCAGAACCAGGCAATGGGTCGCCACCCAATACATATCCTGTGGCTTCATTGGAAGTTTCAGATCTTCCACAGAGCATTCGATCAAGCACTGATGCAATGGGATCAATAACTGGCCTACATTCCCCATAGCAAGGAGCATGCCAAGTATGAATGATCAAAAAGAAAAGCAGTATATGTGAACCCATTAAAATTTGAAAGCTGAAATTAAAAGGGGGGTCTTTGGGAATATCCAATTTTTGTAAACCAGGCACATCCCTAGAGAAAGACTAAGAAATCCTGTTTATAAATGACATAAACCATTACAGAGAGGGAGGTGCTTTTGTCTTTTCAAAGACAAATTTTTACTGATGAATGAGGGTATTTATTCGTCCTGTATAAAAAATGTTATGTGCAAATCACTCCCCATTAAAAATGTCATGTTACCTCAAAAATTCAGGGAAGAATGTTAAGAAAGCAAACTCCTGGCTTGGATCCCCCTTAAGGTTTGTTTCAGGCTTCCTCTGAAGATATCGCAGGTATATCCAACTTGTATATGTGCCAAATATCAAGGTTGGAAGGTATGATGCTGAATCATCTGTAAAGAAGCTTGTTGCTATGGCCAGCAACAACATGATAGAAGACACCCACTGGATAGTGTAAGAAAATGGTAGGGAGTAAGATACGTTCCCAGTAGCTGGAATTTTATATCAAATGATAGATGAAGGTAGGGCTCAAACTATAGAGTGCATAAAAATCTTACCTTTGCTTTTATTTTCAACACAGAAAATAAAGACAATTCCTGATCAGGTACAATTTGCTTGATACCAACCAGGAAACCTGAAAGGGCCCCATGGAAGCCAGAAAGAGGTGTATAACTACCAAAAAAGAAATGGAGAAAGAAACTTCAGAAAATCTGAAGAATGGTCTTCATTTATTGATAGACTTGCATCTGATGGAGAACGAAAAAGAAAGCACCTATACATTGAACATTTCAAAACCAGAAGACAGGAACTAAAAAGAGCGAAATGATACTAAGCAATAGAACAGTTTTTCTCACATCAATACCCTTTTGTTCTATCTGTGCCATCAAGTTACGCAGATGCATGGGGGGGTAGGACATATGACATTTGAGACATTTCATGAAAGGCTTCTTGGCCCCCTAAAAGTTTAATAAGCATTTGTAAGCAATTGAAAATCCAAATCCACCAAATTGTTCCTCCTAACAGGAAAGTCTTCTAGTGTTCTTAAGAAAATCTAGGGAAGGTAGTACCCTAAAACCCATTTCAGATTTCAGAAACCTGGATCAACTAGTCTCCCAATTTTCAGAGAAAACCACTCGTCATTTGAATTCTGAACAAAACCATCAAGAACCCCAGGTCAATTCAACTCTATGGGACGACCTCAACAGCAAACTCAATACCCTGTTGACCTCAACAGCACAAGAGAGAGAAGTTTCCTTCTGTCAGCTTATTTTTCCAAGTGACCCAACATGGAATAAGAGAGAGTCACACTGAAATATCTAGAAATCTAATTTTCTGGCCCAGGTTGTGGTGGATAAGAAACAACTGACAGGATCTATCCAGGTTTTCGAAATCTGAAATGGATATTAGGGTTCTTTACCTTAAAATCTAATAGCTTACACGCTTCGTAGAATTGGCATACCTATGAAGAAAAAACGTTCACTGTTATTAGCCAAGACTTGTTCCAGCAATTTGGGGTAAGCTACATATACAAAACACTAAAAGAAAATTTGGCTGATCTTTTCAGTACATATTTTAAAAAACAAATATAATGTAAAGGGAGAACAAAAATATGAACCAAAAAAAGGAAAAACGAGCATAAATAAGGGTCATTAGCCAATATTGGCCTCAGTTATCTGGGGTCTTGAGAGGAGCAGACTTGATACAGACCTAACCTTAGGTTTTTTATTTGTTTTGGCACACAAGCAATGGCCCCTAAAAACTATTATAAATAGGAAAGAAACACAAATGTAAAACAAAGAAAAAAAACAAAAAACTTGTCTCCGGAGAATCAGAAATACTTACAGGTAACTCTCCTGCCTTGTTATATAGTACAAAGCAATAGCTGTCGTGAAGACACAAACATAAGTCAGAAAATTAACTATAATGATGAACTTGACGAACTCCCTGGAACCCCATATAGGTTCCAGCAGCTTCCCAATGAAAAGAAGACCAACTGTGCCTATGACCACCTGGAAAGCAATTGTAGCTTCAAAACTTGCTGTTTGAAGGAAATTAAAGGGAAAGAGGCATCTCTCACACTAGATGATGATAGGAAAATGGTTGCATAATTTACAATGAAACAAATACTTACCCCAAAAACTGATTGCTCAACATAACCAGCTGTTATGAGATTCCAAGCAAAAGGGATCGTCCTGCAAATTCAATTCCAAGGAGGTGAACATTCTGACCGGGAAAAAAAGTTAAGCTTACAAAGTAAAAAATGGAGACAGGATCAGATATCATTCCATGGACAAGTCCTTGACCAAATTACAAGCCTTCATTTCTTTGAATACAAAAGTTGTGCATACAACTGGATGCAATTCGATATGCAGAATCAGAAGATATTTTTCTCTTGTGATTATTAAATTTCTAAATATCCAAAGAAATCATATTTTGTGGATAATGTATTTCCACAGGCAATCAGGAAAAGTTTACCATGGAAGGGCTGTAGTGCAGCCTTCGAACTATTCTTCAGCAATGGTTCCATTTACTTGATCCAAATAATACACGATAGGATTCAGATTTAGCAGCTGATAGCCTTAGAATGTAGCCATAACAGTGAGCATGGGTCGTGCTTTTGTAATCCTGTTAATGAAGAATTTCTAACCATTAAATTCTTCATTGCCATACCTGCTGGCACCAGCTGCTGTGGTGGATTAACTGACAATCTTAAGAAACAATGCCAACTGGTTGCTATTTCAAGTGTAAGCATCATTTAGATTTTTATATGCACTGATGTATTTGCCTTTTAACAGTTTCCTTGACCAATGGGAATAAAGGATACTAATATGCTATACTTGAGGCATGTAGTTAGGATCTTCATGAGTAATGCACTTCACGACTCAGAAAATGATAAAAATATCTCTGACATCCAGGGAAAGATTAACAACAGAATTGACATATGGTAACTGGTACAAACTACTTAAAGTGCGACTGCAGAACCACTTTTGTTGCATCAGAACTCAATTATATTTCTCTCCCTATATTTCATTTCATTAGATTTATAGTTTTTTTTGAAGAAAGGGAACTTTTTATTGTAGATTTATAGTTTTTAATTTCATTAAGACCATCTTATATGCTAGTAGTGTCTCTAGAAAGGAAACTCCCAGGCCTTAGTATCTTTTCTGTCTCTATGTGCATAGTTGTGCAATAAATGAAAGATTTAACAGCACGAATTATAAGTAGATCAGTTTCTTTCCTCAATCAACAATTCAGATTTAATTAAAGATTAAAATAGAGAAAGGGAAGAAATTCCATCTTGTAGCTTGCTCCTAGGTTTGAATCTTTCTTTTTTTTCTTTAAATAAATTCCTCTCTGTTTTTTTTTTTTTTTTTTTTTGAGAAAAGTTAACTGGTTTCATTAAGAAAAGATAGGAGTACCCAAGAGGGTGTACAAAGGAAACAATACAAATAGGGAGCAGACCCCTGAATTTTACACAGGAGGGATCTTATCACAGTACAGAACTTCTAAAGGAGCTATTTTTTGCTAATCCATCTGCAGGAGCATTAAGTTCCCTTGGAATCAAGTGTTCAAGAAACTAATGTTATTGATGATTTAACAAAGATGGTTATGGAAGGCAGTGTTTTAGAAATACATTTCTTTCAAGATCCTTTTCTAGTTCTGTGTGTGGCCTCTACTCTACAGTCCAAGCATGTAGCTGTGGGAAGTCCTACTCCCTTTGTAATTGGGGCATATCAACTTTTCATCCTCAAGTTCTTCAAAACTAAACTTGAGGACGAGTTTTTTTCAACCAGGGGAAAATGATGCAGGAGCTGAAGAGTCAAAATTGGAATTTTATGATATTTTATGTATTTCTGTATTTTTGGACAGTAGGGGTATTTTTGTTGTTTCTGTGGGGTCCAATGATAGGGTTTAATTTGTATAGTTATAGTTTGTTTATGTTTAAAATTTCAGAGTCATTGCATAAGTAGGATTAGAGTTATTGAGTCTTCTTTGAATTGAAGTAGGATATGACAACTTAGTTTGAGTCCTACAAGGATTATTGAGTCTAACAGTTTGACTCCTAAGACTATTATGAGTCTAACAGTTTGACTCCTAGGATTATTATGAGTTTAGAGTCTATAAATATGTATGAATGTTTTACACAAAGGCTATTGAATTTTCTTCAGCTTATGCTAACTATGGTGAGTGATTCCCATGCCCTAGAGTGATTCTAGGCACCCTGTGAATGATTCTAGGTATTTTCTCTCTCTTTCTCTCCCTATTATCTCTCTTATCCCTTCAAGAAACCACTACAGCCATCAACATCCATAAAACCAACCTATTCTTAATAGCTTATCAAGACATACCCTAATGGTAAGAATGATCATCTTTTTTCCACAAAAAAAAAAAAGAATGATCATCTTTCATATAGGAGTTCTGAGTTCAATTCACGTTACAAGCACATTATTTTTACATGAGAACTTAAATGGAGTTAACAATTTGGATCAGTAATTACCTAGAGTTAATGGTTGTAATTAATACATTAATTTAAATGGACAATTGGAATTACCGAGATACTGATCAAAGAGAATGGTGATAATAAGGGAAAAATCCCGATAGGTACTCTGTATTTTAGGCCGAGTTCCAATTTAGTACCCGTACTTTAAATCGCGACAATCTAGTACCCAAACTTTCAATCTGCAACAATTTGGAACCCAGCATTAAATTTCCGTCAGTTAGAAGATAAGAAGTCCTAAATACCCCCCAGCTATTTCGAATAATGTATGAATTACCAATTAAAATTACAAAAATAACCCATCATCTATTTTGACCAATGCAAGTGGGAACCACTGTTACACCCCCACCAATTCAAAGCGTTCGAAAATCCAACCAAGAAGACTTCTTCAGGTTTGTGATACAAGAAGAAAAAGAGAAGAATGTCGAGCACTGCCAGCCAGGTTATTCGCTGCAAAGCTGTCGTAGCATGGGAAGCTGGGAAGCCATTAGTGATTGAAGAAGTGGAGGTGGCACCTCCACAGAAAAATGAGGTTCGGGTGAAGATCCTCTACACCTCTCTCTGCCATACCGATGTTTACTTCTGGGAAGCCAAGGGACAAAATCATCTGTTTCCTCAGATCTATGGCCATGAGGCAGGAGGGATAGTTGAGAGTGTCGAAGAGGGTGGATCTTGCACCAGGAGATCATGTCCTCCCTATTTTCACCGGGGAATGCAAAGAATGTGCTCACTGCAAGTCCGAGGAGAGCAACATGTGCAGCCACCTTAGAATCAACACTGACAGGGGTGTGATGCTTAACGATGGTCAGTCCAGGTTCTCCATCAATGGCAAGCCTATTTACCATTTTGTTGGCACCTCCACCTTCAGCGAATATACTGTTATTCATGTTGCCTTGCCAAGATTAATCCTTTGGCCCCTCTAGACAAAGTTTGCGTCCTCAGCTGTGGTATCTCCACAGGTCTTGGTGCCAAATTGAATGTTGGAAAACCTCCAAAGGATTCAACAGTGGCTGTCTTTGGATCGGGAGCTGTTGGGCTTGCTGCTGCAGAAGGGGCTAGAATAGCTGGGGCATCCAGAATCATTGGAGTTGATTTGAACCCAAAGAGGTTTAAAGAAGCCAAGAAGTTTGGGTGCACCGAGTTTGTGAACCCAATGGACCATGAGAAACCAGTTCAAGAGGTGCTTGCTAAAATGACTGATGGAGGAGTTGACCGGAGTGTTGAATGTACCGGAAACATTAATGCCATGATCTCAGCATTTGAATGTGTTCATGATGGTTGGGGTGTTGCCATTCTTGTGGGTGTACCTCATAAAGATGCTACATTCAAGACCCACCCCATGAATTTATTGAATGAAAGAACTCTCAAGGGTTCATTCTTTGGCAACTACAAACCACGATCTGATCTTCCCTCTGTTGTAGAAAAATACATGAACAAGGAGCTTGAGCTGGAGAAGTTCATCACTCATCAAGTCCCTTTCTCGGAGATAAACAAGGCTTTTGATTACATGCTGAAAGGCGAAAGTCTCTGATGCATCATCCGAATGGATGGTTAAACTGAATGGATGTCTGCATTTCAGTCAAAGCAAAATAGATATTGATTATTGGGAGTTTTCTGATAGATGTTTATGCCGTATTTGTGAACAAAGAGTCATGGTTGTTACTTTTTTCATTTTGTTCTTGTTATCTCAAGTTTGTATTCGATAGGAAAATGTAAAATGTAACGTTTGGTATTGAATTACTGAATATTAAATCTTCAGCTTTTGACTTCTTGTTCAAAAAAGTAGGAACCACTGTTCATACTTGCATTTACAGAGAATCCAAAAACCAACTCCCTCACACCGGTGGTGTCAAGCGAATGCGCCGCCTTGGTGAAAAAAATCCATTTTCACTTTCTGTGCTCTTTTCACATACTGATGTAACCATTCTGGTCACGTATCAGTATTTTTGTGATGTATCGATTTTTTTGGCTAAGTACCTCGTCAGTGACATCTACTCCCAAGTGGCCTGTGACTCAGGGGCTGAAGTGGAACTCCCTAGTGTAGTGCAACTCGGCTGTAGACGGCGGGAGCCAAGGAACCTGCGAGAACTGAATCAAAGGACCCGGGGGTGTTTACCCGGCGAGGCCACTCCGATGGCTAAGTTAGCACTCTGATAGTAGAGAGCTTGAAGATGAGATTAGGGAAATGAGAGAGCTAGAGAGCAGAGGTTACCTCCATTTTTCCTCCCCCCTTTTCCCCTTTGGGGGGTTGGAGCTCTTATATAGCGGTGTTTTGACAGATCTGGCATAACCGCCTCTGATTCTCTGCCGAAGCCGTTACTTGCCAGGGCTGAGCTGGTGGGCACAGGTAACCGTTGTAGAGTACGGCCCTGTCAGACAAGGGACACCTCTCAGGGCTGGCAGGCACGATGCCACTTGGCGAGAGACGTGGGCGTAGGTCTCCAGATTTGGCAGGTACGGTTGTCAGGTAGGAAATCATCCTACGATATGCCAAGCTGCTCTGCAACGAGCTACCTTGCACCGAGCTACTTTTCACCAAGCCACCGGTAATGTGCCGAGGTGCTTCTACCCGAGGCAGGTCTTCGTGGCCTACTAGGAGGTGAGCTGTTCGTAAGACGCTAGGCTGCCTGTAAGTGGCGAGCTGCCTATAAGTGTCGAGCTGCCTATAAGTGCTGAGCTGCCTGTAAGTGGCGAGCTGCCTGTAAGTGGCAAGCTGCCTGTAGGTGACGAGCTGCCTGTAAGTGGCGAGCTGTCTGTAAGTGGCAAGCTGCCTGTAGGTGACGAGTTGCCCGTAGCTAGCTCGAGCTGTCTAGTTGGCAAGAGGCTGCACTTTGTTGGCATGAGGTGCCAGGTGTCATAATTTCACTAGAGGGCCAAATCTACCCTCATCATTTGCCCCCCACTCCCGAGCTAAGAGTAACTCGACGAAGGGAGTAGATTTCTCCTTTTGGCTCGTAAGTCGACGAGCTAGTAAGCGTTGATCCAATTTCTTGGGCTCTGGGAGCTGCCTGTAAGGTGAAGAGGTCTCCACCAGTTCAGTACTGTAGCCCTTAGGCTCTGGGGGCAACTTATAGTCCACTTTTGCTGATTTTGCCCATGCTGAAGAAGTGACTAGGTCTTAAGTAGTAATGTGGCCCGTAGGCTTTGGGAGCGACTCGTAGTCCACTCTTCTTGACTTTGCCCATGCCAAAGAGGCGACTGGGTCTTAAGCAGTTTTGTTGCCCACGCCGTAGAGGCGACTGGGTTTTTCAGCAGTAATGTGGCCCGTAGGCTTTGGGAGCGACTCGTAGTCCACTCTTCTTGACTTTGCCCATGCCGTAGAGGTGACTGGGACTTGTGTGGTGCCGAGGTCTCTGCCTGTGAGGTGCTGAGCTACCTGTGAGGTGTCGGGCTGACCAGGTGCCGAGCTGCCTATGAGGTGTCGGGCTGACCGGGTGCCAAGCTACCTATGAGGTGCCGAGCTGACCAGGTGCCGAGCTGCCTGTGAGGTGTCGGGCTGACCGGGTGTCGAGCTACCTGTGAGGTGCCGAGCTGACCAGGTGCCGAGCTACCTATGAGGTGCCGAGCTACCTATGAGGTGCCGAGCTAACCAGGTGTCGAGCTGCCTGTGAGGTGTCGAGCTGCCTGTGAGGTGTCGGGCTGACCAGGTGCCGAGCTGCCTATGAGGTGTCGGGCTAACCGAGTGCCGAGCTACCTGTGAGGTGCCGAGCTGCCAGTAATTGCGCTGCATCAGCCTCATAATGCCGGTCACCCACTCCTACAAGAAGCTACTAGGAGCTCAACCTTCGGGGGCAGCACTACTAACTTTAGGTCGCCAGCTCACACGGGAGCCATGGAAGGCTCGACCAGCAAGGGCGCCCATGCAGTCTGTTGGCCGCCAACTCCCGCGGAAGCCACGAAGAGCTCATCTTAGTAGAGGGGACCTCACGAAGAGGACTGATGAGGTTTTATTTGAATTGAAAGTAAAGTTGGTAGAGCTGCTTAGCCTGTTAACTCCCTGCATAGTCTTTGAGTTCATACAAAATGGAAACTATAAAGCGAGAGCTTCAGTTTCTAAAAAGTGAGGACTTAGCTTTTTGGGAGGAGAGGACTTAGCTTTTTGTAGGATGAGAACTTAGCCTTTGTAGGATGAGAACTTAGCCTTTGTAGGATGAGAATTTAGCTTTTGTAGGATGAGAACTTAGCCTTTGTAGGATGAGAACTTAGCTTTTGTAGGATGAGAACTTAGCTTTTTGTAGCGTATTCCCACAGACGGCGCCAATTGATGTAATCATTTCTGGTCGCATATCAGTATTTTTGTGATGTATCGGTTTTTTTGGCTAAGTACCTCGTCAGTGACGTCTGCTCCCAAGTGGCCTGTGACTCGGGGCTGAAGTGGAGCTCCCTGGTATAGTGCAACTCGGCTGCTCTCTGGAGAAGATGATCTGCTCATCTTTGTAGACGGCGGGAGCCGAGGAACCTGCGAGAACTGAATCAGAGGACTCGGGGGTGTTTACCCGACGAGGCCACTCCGATGGCTAAGTTAGCAGTCTGATAGTAAAGAGCTTGAAGATGATATTAGAGAAATGAGAGAGCTAGAGAGCAGGGGTTACCTCCATTTTTCCTCCCCCCTTTTCCCCTCTGGGGGGTCAAAGCTCTTATATAGCGGTGTTCTGACAAATTTGGTGTAACCGCCATTGATTCACTGTCGCAGCCGTTACTTGCCAAGGCTGAGCTGGTGGGCGCGGGTAACCGTTGCAGAGTACGGCCCTGTCAGACAAGGGACACCTCTCAGGGCTGACAGGCACAATGCCGCTTGGAGAGAGACGTGGGCACAGGTCTCCAGATTTGGCAGGTACGGTTGTCAGGTAGGAAATCTTCCTACGATACGCCGAGCTGCTCTGCAACGAGCTACCTTGCACCGAGCTACTTTTCACCGAGCCGCCGGTAATGTGCCGAGGTGCTTCTACCCGAGGTAGGTCTTCGTGGCCTACTAGGAGGCGAGCTGTTCGTAAGACGCCAGGCTGCCTGTGGAGTGGCCAACTGCCTGTGGCGAGCTGCCTATGCCAAGCTGCCTGTAAGTGGCGAGTTGCCTATAAGTGGCGAGCTGCCTATAAGTCGCGAGTTGCCTGTAAGTGCCGAGCTACCTGTAAGTGGCGAGCTGCCTGTAGGTGACGAGCTGCCTGTAAGTGGCGAGCTGTATGTAAGTGGCAAGCTGCCTGTAGGTGACGAGCTACCCATAGCTAGCTCGAGCTGTCTAGTTGGCAAGAGGCTGCACTTAGTTGGCATGAGGTGCCAGGTGTCATAATTTCACTAGAGGGCCAAATCCGCCCTCATCACATACAACTGTAATCACCATTTCGCCAAAATGGTTTTAGATCTGAAAATGGTTCAGATAAAAACCACATTTCTTCGTCGAATGAAAATGGTTCAAATCTGTGCACGACTCTGGTATGGGTGTTTTCATACCCATCAGATCTGTGCGCGGCTCTAGAGATGTTAGGGAGAAGCACCTTTCTTCGTCGGCCTCTCCTTGTCGTTTCTCCAACCGATTTTGAAGAGAAAGGGGTGGAATGGAAGTGCTAGGCTCTCTTCTCCTCTTTCATTCGTTCACCCCAGAATGAAGAGAAAAGGGGATTAGGGAAATAAGAAGGGTAAAGGGTAAAATGGTCCTTATATTTTTGTAAAGGGTAGTTTTGGTATTTCGAAATTTTTAACCTGCACCTGATATCACGTGAGTCTTCTAACTGACGTCGGGTACCAAATTGTCGCAAATTGAAAGTTCGGGTACTAGATTGTCACGATTTAAAGTACGGGTACTAAATTGGCACTCGGCCTAAAGTACAGGGTACCTATTGGGAATTTTCCCTAAAAAATATGAGGAGAGAGAGTAGAAGTATGTTTTCAACCCGCAAATGAACTGGCCAATTGGACCAGTTGACCTTGCCAATGGTTTAGCAAACCGTCCAGTCCAGACTAGTGAGCTCTACCACCATCTTGGTGGCCCATCTGATTGGACTGATCCAATGTTGACCACATGTTAAACAGACTGGTTGGACTAGTTAACCTTGTCAGTTGTCCTAACCAATTAGTTGAACCACTAAACCATGTGCCTCAATCAGCGGATCACAAGTTAGATATTTGATTATCTTTTTTTTCTTTTTTTGTATTTTTTCCATTTCCATCATTAATAAAAATATGTATCTTCTTCGTCACACTTGATTCTGTTTAATATGATCAATATATAATATTAGAGGCATGCTCATTTTCTTTTCTTTTTTGTTTGTTCAGCCATTTTCTTATAAATTTTCTGTAATGTTGTATTTTATCTATTTTATATTTTATTATTTAATTATGACATCACAGATTGATTTATTTAATTTGAACAGTTGAATCACAGATCCACCAGTCACCACCTGAAATAGGAAAGTGGTTTTGTTTCTGGGTTGAACAGGTACCTAGTTACCTACAACCCAACCCAACCCATTTAACTCTACCCAATGGGTCATTCAACTCATCTCCAACCTGCTAAGTAAATGGATGAGTTTGGGCAGGTTATAAATGGGTGGGTTGGGTGGGTTCAGAGGGTTGGGTTGAAAATTGCCACCCCATTCATCATAACTAAATACACTTGTAGGGGCAATAAAATCAAACTCCCAGATTATGGCAGTCCTCTCAGGGGTATCCACTTGGTCATTTAAGGAAGTTCACTAAAGAACCGGACTAACCAACCCATTCCCCTATTTGTATACATATGCCTATGTGAAACAACTAGATGAACAAATACCATAATATTCTCTTTGTTGTAATCACTATCTTCAAATATTATTTATTAGAGGAAGTTTGTTATCATCAAGAAAAAACATACCTTGCAGGAACAAGTGCAAGATAAGTAACAGCACCAGGAAAAAACTGGATTAGAGCATATCCACCAACAAGCACTATAGCAAGGCCCTTGCAAAGCCGAGTAAACCCAGAGAAAAGGCTAGAGCCCTGACAGTAAAAGCTAATAAACAATTTTAAGTAATTCTTATAAAAAGATCAGACTCTGTTGGACTTAATATAAATAAAAAGGAGAAAAGGTGCAACAAAATTTCACCAAATAAGTACATGCAATGTTTAGAAATGCAAAGGCATGATGCAAGGCACTAGCATATTCCATTTTGTGAGGCCCTTAAGACTCATGCGATTTCATTGTTTCAAGAAAAAGCCATAAACTAAAATGAGAAGCACAACTATTCATGAAGATATTATATTTTCATATAAAAGTAAGGATAACTAATCACCACATAGACAAAGATTGTTAAATATGAAGAGATTTAAAATAAAACTGATCACATTTATATAAATCCTTCAAGACAACTAGAAAACTCCTAAGGTAAAGCAAAACCTCAAATTTTAATTACTTGCTTAGAAAGCAAGAATATACACATGGAAAACTTATAATTGGTCCTTAACTTGGTCTTGTAATAAAATCCCTACTTCAATTAATGCATGAAATGTGTAGTTTTTACATAAAACATCTGAAGGTCTAAGACACATGCCGTAGTTTTAGGCATGAATATTAGAGTTGACCCTCAAGGCATCTTCCCTAGGCTCACATGCCCTTTAAAACACTGAGTAAATATAGTAGCATAGAAAGGTGGTATCTTTTTTAAATACTTCTCATCTAAGTCACAAGCATAATGTCTATTAAAAATAGGGAGAAAAAAAACTAAGACTTTATACAGATACCTCCCACTGGACTTGTGTTGGATTTTTTTTTCTCTTTTTGAAAAGAAAAACAGCATACACTTCAAAGAGGTACAGAAGCTTTTTTGTGAAAGTAAGGGAAAACTTTCATTAAAAGATAAGAAAGATTACAAGAGAGAGTGAATAGATTTCGTCAACAACAGAGAAAATAAATTCTTACAGAATGTGTGTATCTTTTTTAAAACACAGAGTAAACATAAATTATATTTAATTTATGTTTTTAATTCAGTTTTTTATTTTTTATTTGGAAAAAATATTAAAAATTGTGATTTGAGGCTAAAAGGAAGCTTTTTCACAAAATTAGTGGGGCAAGGCACTTGGGATGCATAGATCTCAAAAGTTACCCAAAATCAAAAAAAGATCACCCCAATCGAACATCGGCACAAAGTTATGGCCTCCTAAAGTTTGCATACACATTTAGTGTATAACCCATGACCCAGTCACCAGGTCGAACATGTCAATGGTCCAACTGCCTAGGTCAAACGGTTTTTTACCAATTTCCGAGTTTTATTAGAAGTGGACCTAGAATCTTGGCCAGGTGACGGTTTGAATGGTTCAACCAGCCTGATCAATGACAGGTTGAAAAAAAAACACTGGAGTTACAAAGGCATCCCATTGAGCCAACACCTAATATAAAATCTCTACAAAACTTTTATCATTTTCATATGGTTCAAGGCAATCAAGAGAGGATGCCATCAACATGAAAGCAATAAGACGCGTCTTCTAATTAAACTAGAATGATCATATGAAATTAGCTTTTAGGCAAACACAAACAAACAAACTAATAATTGATGATAATCAGATAGTGGGATTAGTTTTTCATTCACTCAATGGAAAATGCATTCTATGGTACCATTGACTACCAATACAACAAAATAATTCCAAATATAATGAGAAGGCCCTATTAGAGATATGATCTGACCACAACTTAAGGGATTATGAACTTGACTTGGGCCTCTTCAAGATTGAGAGTAGTCACTTTGTATGAAAAAAAAAATGCCAAAGATTAGGTCCATATCCAGTCTACCCCTCCCAAGATCCCAAATAGCTAGGACCATCATTGGGTAATATCCTTTCATGATATCTACGATACGGGCAATTACTTAGTGCAGTGGTAACTTATTGGGCTGACAAGAGTATGAATGAAGGTTTAAATCTGAGACTTGCCACTTTGTGCAAACAAATGCCCCATGAATTAGGTTCATATCCAATCCATTGCTCTCAAGATGCTCAATGACAAACATTGGATAATGACCCTTAGATAAGATCAAGGACAAAATTAAACTCCGGGAAAGACTGAAAAGACAACCATACCAAAGCCTTTAGACTTGCAACATTAAAGGAGTGATCAGTGGTGGATGGCTGCATGTCAATGTTAGTCATCTCTAAAAATTACAAAACCCAACTAACAGTAGTAGTGGATGATAACATTGTAAGAAAAGCAAACTTGTTTCTTACAAGTAATAAAGATTTTATCACATTGTAAAACTATAAGAGCCACACTTCACAAAAAAAAAAAGCCCAAAGATCAAATATCTTTATAGTACCACCCTCTACACCAAAACATTCCACCAATTATATGAAAAATCTCCTCTGTTATAATTCCTTAAGAACAAGAAAACTGAACTTGTTGAGAGGAACAAAGCCAAAAAATATCAAAGGCATTTGCTTGAATATTAACAGAAATATGAGCATTGAAAAGACACAACTAGCTATCTTTCAGCATTTTTATTCAAAGACAATTGTGGTGGAATTAAAAATGTAGAAGAAAATATGGTTCATATTTCTATACTTCCATTTATAGCTTAGCAGAACCTTGGTGCTTGTACAACAATGGTATAAGTTAAGTCAAAAAGATGGGACCCAACGAGACGTTTTAAGTTTCAACCTCTAAAGACAAGGGTGCTTCAAAAGAGGGAGGATGAGATTTATGCCTAGGCTCTTTTTAGTTGAATTTAAGATAAAGGATAACAAACAATTACCATAGAAAATGACAATCTTATGGTGTAAGCTTGCACACAATTGGCTGGAAAATAAATGTTCTCGAAATGATTGAGTAGTATTTATAGGAAAGTGGCATTCCTTCTAATCTTCTGCAAACCATATTTTGAAAAGAGGGTAAATCCTCTATTCTAATATCAGAACCCCTATATATTCTTAATCAATCAGGTCATTTCCAAGTTAAGCAAAACACCATGAGAATTAGGAAAATAATTCATTTTTATATTCTTAGAATTTCCCGATTCTAAGAAAGATTTTTGTTTTATGTGCAATCAAACACAGCCCTATATTAATTTCTACGTTCCTGATTTCTGGGATGGAATTATTTACTTTGTCAAGTAGAACCAGCAGCAATTATTTCTTATTTACTTGGACATGTTTTTTTGTTTGAATTCAAGAATCTAGGTAATTTCATTGAAGTAAATTGCTGATTAGGCAGCTTGGGTAGTATATTCTTGTCCAAAGCTTCCAACAGTCAGAGTTTTTGCTTGCAATATCAACTTTGGAGGTTGATCACCCTCCAAAATGATCAAGTAAAGCAACCCCTCGAAGAGATCAACGCCCATTTTCCCTACTTTACAAACAGGATATTTTGTTTATAATGTAATAGAGTTATATGGGTTCCATAACCACATGGGCTATCAAGTATTGATGGGACTACTTGGGGGTGTGGTAATAGACAATGGACTTCTACCAGTACTATGTCGTTCAGTTGGTGCAATATCCTAAGGCCAGTAAAGGGTTTGAAAAGGCACTCCTTTGATCAATACTTTAGAGTCTTTAGTAGTCCTATCGGCATAATAGATCCTTTAAGCGTGTTTACTTTTGGGCTGTATTTGAGGGGAAAAGTATAAATATAACAACAAAAAAGGTGTCTTTGGTATGAGATCCATGCATATGCATTTCTTCTGAATATTTGTTTTTAAACAGAAATCTACTTGAAATGTAAATGTACATATGGAAGGAGACGAGAAACGTAGATTGGGTCTATAAAGGAAAACGGAAAGCAGCGGGCGAGACAGGGAGATCCAGTAGGTGATAATACCGGAAGAGGATCCTCTACTAAAGAAATCATATCTGGTAATGGTGCCTCACAAAGAAATTTTAGCTACGTGACTACAGAGGACTGAAACTTCAGGGGAGAAGGAAGGAGGGATTCGAACATTTCGCTGCCCGTTAAATAAATCCCATAGAGAAACAGAACTTTTTATCCGGTCGAGTTTCAAAGATGCAATTATAATTGAAGTGTATACAATATGCAAGAAGAGATGGATACACAGAGAGGATTTTAATTTAAAAAAAAAAAAAATAATAATAATAATAATAATAATAATAATAAAAGAGCAGAACGGTTTTCGTCCTTACTCCTCCTAGCGTCTGAGAACTCATTGCCGAAGATTCCCAATCGTTGCAGCTAGTGATCTGATGAGTTCCCTGCTTGCCGTCTAGACTCCACCTTTTCTCAGGTCTTTCACCGTGTCGCGGGCCTTGTAGCTGTGTGTTATGAACAGAGAGGAGTCAGACAAAAGACTAGTACCAAAACAGCGCCAAGTCAGTCCTAACCGCGCTAAACTATTAACTAATAGTACAAGAGGCAATTGTATGTACGTATGTATATACCTATCACGTAATGTATGTATGTATGTATGCCTATTTCTAATACCCTGTGCCGGTTGTTAGAGGATTTTAATAGAGGGTTACTATTGGAGCTGCTTTTTTTAAAATAAATAATTCCAACTAATTATTGTTAACACAAAAAAAGAAGGGAGATTTCATGCCCATTCTCTACCCATATTAGGCTAATCGATGTAAAAAGTTATTAGTGTAAAACTACATCGAACCGTAAAAAAATGACCGTTGATCTTCGAAAAATGTGATGATAAAAGTATGGAGTTTTATATTTACTTTCGATGAAGTTTTACATCGATTTACAAGTTACAAATGCCCGATAAAATCAAACCAGCGTAAACATTTACGTCGATGACATTTCACATCAATTCCAAATGCAGCTATAACCTCACAATACATACAAGAGTGATGTAAAGTTACAATTCAACACAAATAGAATGTGGATAGTGATAAGGTTCAAAATTTCGATATAATACACCTGATAAATAACAAAGGGGGTTTGGATATTTTGGCATTTTCATGGTAAACAAGACCAAACCCCTAGCCTATTTTCAAAAAATAAAAATAAAAACTAAAATGTTTTGTTGTATCAAAATTCAAAAACACCAGATACGCCTAGTCATTTAGGTTATGTTTGATTTGAAGGAAAAAGTAAGGAAAGGAAGGGAAAGTTAAGGAGACCTATACAAGATTTGTAAAGGTTTTCCTACATTTTCTTTCCTTTCCCTACTTTTTCTTCAAACCAAACATAGCCTTAGGATATAGAGTTGTGGGCAAGATATTATGAGTGGACAAGAACAGGTACCGTGGCTGGTCATGGACCCGATCCTCTTATTTGATTATGGGTGGTAGGGCCCATTTACTGCTTAGCAACTCAGATTGCTCCAAAGGTGCAGGAGACGAGATCAGATCTGTGCCTCACAAACGTGCCCAGATCTATTCCTCGTAGAATGTCTCACAACAACCTCATGGCATGTCTTGACCATATATCAGGAATATCTCTGGTATTTGTATTTATTATTCATGGGAGATGTTTCTAATACAGGGTGGGATATGACTATAAGATCCGTGTAAAACTTGTTTTGTGAGGAATAGATCCCTATTCTCCACAAACACCTCACATGCATATCTCAGCATACAATGAAAATATCTCCTGGGAGATATTCTCAATACATGGTTGGGATATATTGTGGGGCGTAGATGTGAATTTGCAGGAAACACAGTTGGTAAGAGTTAAGACTGATTTCAGTCCACTTTAGTTGCCTTGACTTCGGAAATTTGGCGTTGAAGAGTTGAGATAATCAGATCTGCTGTGAACAACTGAAGACGGACGTACGTAATCGGTATGTAACCGATCACAAGTGAACACATGGGACCCATGTATGATGTGGACCCATGATTGCTTACTAAGCCTGTTATGCATGTCTCTGTTCGTAGCAGATCCCATTTGTGAAGCTTCGTGAAAACCCGAAAAAAAAAGTCAGTTTGATATTTTTATAAATACCTCCACGCATGGATCTTCTTGCAAAACATTCTGTGGACACCCTTAAATAGATTTTCAACCGGTTGGCACGGAAACAGCAGCATTTCTTTAAACGCTCGTAATAACACACAGCACCCTTCAAGGGAAAGCCCATTGTTTCCCACTTTTGCTTTATCATTATACAAAAGTTTTAGGCCTACCAATTATATATTTGGCATCGGTGCTGCATTTGTATATGTGTGAATTAGAAGCATCGTTTTTTAAGAAAATGGTGTCTTTTATTTTTGTTTAAAAACGTTGCTGTTAGGTAGAACGTTTCTTGGGGGAATAGCAATACCTTCTGCTTGGTACCAGTGCTCTATATCTGTTTTCAGCACTGGTACCTGATGTAACCGTTTTTGGTCACGTACCATTTTTTGTGATGTATAAATTCTGCCTGGTGATGCTCCCTGGTGGCGAACTGCCTAGGGGCGAACTGCCTAGTGGCAAACTGCCCGGTGGCGAACTGCCTGGTAGTGCTCCCTGGTGGCGAACTGCCCGGCAGTGCTCCCTGGTGGCGAACTGCCCGGCAGTGCTCCCTGGTGGCGAACTGCCTGATGGCGAACTGCCTGGTGGCGCTGCCTGTGGCGAACTGCCTGGTGACGAACTGCCTGATGGCGAACTGCCTAGTGGCAAACTGCCCGGCAGTGCTCCCTAGTGGCGAACTGCC